TCTTATCACAAAAAATAAATTATTACATATGAAAACTATTAAAAAAAACACCTAGAAATAAAATAAAGCTTTCGCTGGATTCAAATGACATGTTCTGGTGTCTATCCATCTATCTATTTATCTATATATATATATGTATGAAAGTTGCTGATTTAATGTTATAGCTGTTCGTCCATTTCTTCATAAAAGACATATTGAGTTAATTATACGATTCTAGTTTTCAGCTTTCGGCAAAAATTAAATTACAATGCTGTTCATTTTGAAGGTTTTTTGACAGATTCGTAAGTATAGTCGTTGGTAACTTATTTCTATCATTACATTGAATATTACTTAACCATATTGGGCAATAAATACATATATATGTATGTATAGTTTATCATTTCTGTTGATCAAAATTACATATGTAAAGCTCATTTGTCGATGTATCCGAATTACTGTAAAAAGCAAATGAGTTCATATCCATGACGAAGTTTTGTTAGATGTAATAGTGCGAGTTAGTTTATGTCTAGAGATGATGATCACGGTAAGCAGCTGTTATCATTAATGCATTCATTAAATATTTATAAACGTTGAGAAATTGAATAGAAAAGTTGACTAACATCTATTGGATACATTTAATTGTTCAATAGATAAATTAAATGTATAGTTTTTGTATTGTTTTACTGTTACTATGTAACTAATTTTCAAATAAATAGTTTATATCATTATTCGACAACAATATAGTTTATCAATCAATATTGGTTAACATAATCAATATTGTTCATTATGTTATTTTTATTAATACTTATGACTTTCGACTGTCATGAACATATATAAGTACACATCCGATTATTCGTTTATCTATCTTTTTCTCAACCGGATGTCGAAACTCTCCCGGAAGCGACATACATAGCAGGGCATGCTCCCATATATTTTACGCCTAATTTAATTCGCATCATCAAACTAAACATAATAACGATGTATGATAGGAAAAAAAAAGCAAAAAATATAGCAAAGTTATTATTAGTTGGTTCGCACTTCTTTTTCTTTTATTTCTAATGATTGTATACATAGTTGTAGGGTATAGATCTAGTTGTTGTGGATGTGTGCTATAAAACAAATGATGCTACGGGTATATTAGTAAAGAAAAGAGAGCGACATGTGTTGATGCATATATATATATATATTAGAAGTGCTTGCATGCATTCAAGAACAATCGTCGATCAGCGACGGCAACAGCAAGAGCAATAGTAGTAACGGCTGCAATGCACGACACTGATAAGTATTGCCAATTGTAATTGTCATTCTTTTTTTCTTCGTCGTTGTCGCATTCGTTCTTTCGTCGTTTCTTGCCTTTCTTTTACATTCTTTCTTCAGTTTTTTCCGCTGCTACTTCATTATCTCGAGAGACATACAAAGAATAGAATGAACTAGCATCAGAATAAACTGTTGAGTTCATTTATTCATTGAGAATCACATACAACTTACGGGAACTAACTTACATAGAATATGGATATATATATATATATATATATATAACGTGCTGTTTTGAAATGGATAGTTAGATGGAAAGCAGAAAATTTCTTTTCTTGTGTGTGTGTGTGTTGTTTTCTCTCTCTCCAATCTTGAGAGGTTTGACTCGAACTCTGTTTCCGGTATTGCATACTAATAGAAATGAAGGAGCTGAATAGAAAGAAAAAACGAGCGTGGTACATGGATAGTGCTTTATATATACAAAGGCTTATTACGGTGTTCCAGATTTTTCTCGTTTCGACGTGCAACAAACACAATAAAACACAAAAAAGTAGTTTATTAAAAAGACTCTTGTAAGTTTTGTTTATTAGAAAATGATTTTTTTCTTCTTTTTTTTGGTACTTCAGCATAGTCTAATTATACGAAGCTTGCCTGTCTCTCTCTCTCTCTCTTTCTGATGTTTCCTTCTATCATCACTTGTCGACAACATTCTTTTCTTTCTTTTTTTTTTCCTCGTTTTTTTTTTGCTCTTTAGTAATCTAGATGATAGTGATGTTGCCCGAGTCAATCATGTCAATGACGTTGCATGTTGACGTAACTCTTGGTTTTCTTACTATCTATCAATCGCGCCATATTTTTTAGATGTGATGAGCCCAAGGCTTTTATTATTTTCGTATGGTTGCCGCGAATATGTGATGACACATATCCATGTAGTTACTAACAATAACATTTTATTCACTGTGGGTAAGTCTATTAGTCTAGGAGAAAAATAAAATATGTTACAACATAGAATAATAACATATGCTTTATTTCCATAGATTGAAGTTAATATGCATGATCGTCATCAATCATATCCAATCGAAGTTCTTTTTGAAGATCATGTAACATTGAGTGATGGTCGTTCTAAACCTCATCTTGTTTTACTTCAATTAACATCGGAGACACTTATCGTTCGACGCCTTAAAACAACTCAAGTATCATCAATTAATAATAAACAAGTTCAAACAATAGTACCACGTAATGTTACTCTTAAAAGACATCCAACAACCCATTCACTTGGCTTTTCAATTAAGGGTGGTTGTGATACGGGTAAACAAACTAGCAAAAAAAGAATTTATTGATTATATTTTTTATAGTTTTTTTCATTTTTGATTAACAGGTTTTCCAGTTCTTATTTCTCGTGTTGTTTATACAAATGCACATTTATTACATGTTGGTGATGCTATTTTATCTATTAATAATGAAAATATATCGACTTTAACTCATGATGAAGTCATTACTAAATTACGAGATGCATCCGGTGATCAAGTTAATTTAACTGTTCAATATATGAATGATATGGCTCCATATTTACATTCAACAACAGGAACAGCAAGATCATCATTATCATCAGTAATACCAACAGTACAGACTAGTTTTACATTACCCACACCATCGTCTGTTAGAATAAGGCGACAACAAAATCGTATGTCAGCTGAATATCCTTCGAGATATCATCGACCGGGTAAACAACAGCAACGTTTATCATTAATGCTTTCCAATCAACAAAAAGTAAGAGTGAATCATTGTTGAGAATGTTTCAAATAACAAAATAGACATAAGAATATGTCATGAAATCTATACAATGAATAGCAGACAAAGAATGCACTACATTAAACGTATATCTGTATTCTATGCATTCTTATTCTAGAATGATGAATAGAAATATGTAATATATTATTGTAGTTTCCGCATAAATTACTTAGACAATATAAGATAAATAAAAGAATCATTGTTGCAGAACAAAAATGATTATAAACATTGAAAGAAAATAAATACATTAAGTATAATTATTTGTTTTCAGGATACCGATGATTATGAATTACTTAGTCGATTACTATTATGTGAAAATGAAAATGAACGATGTCGACATCAATTAGAAGAATTTGCAAAAGAACAACAAGAACAACAGCAACCGCAACAGCAGCAGCAACAACAACAACAAACAGAACCAATTACTACATTAATAGATGAAGATGATGAAGATAATTCGACAATCGATTATGTTTCAGTACAAGAATATTCTCTACTTTATGCATATGTTACTCAATATATAACTAGTACAGACAAATTACGTACTAATTCTTTTCAATTGCATACTCTAGATGGTTCTCAATCGGGAATAATTATAAATGATACATCTATTCAACAACGTTTGTGGATATCACGTATTAATACAATTATACATAATCTAACAACACGTACATTAAATGAACTTAATCAAACATTATTACCGAGTGAACAAGTACTTTATGCAACTTGGATACATGAACGTGTAACAAATATTAATCAAAATCGTTTACCAGAATGGAAACCTATATTTATTGTATTAAAAGGTAGTGATTTTTATATATTTGATGATAATAAACCACCACCATTATGTGCATATGATTTTATATGTTGTTCACGTATATATCCAATTGTTGAAATACTTCTTGAAATAATATCATCAAAATATTTAATTGATGAAAGACAATATTGTTTTACATTAACATTATCAAATGATTTAATAACTACATGTCGTTATTTAAATTTTGAAACAAAAAATGAATTAGATGAATTTTTATCAAATTGGCAACGTTCATTATACATGTCTGTTTATGCACTTAAAAATCGTGCATTTGGTTGTATGTATCAAGGACAAATATGTCGTTTAATTATTGATATAAATAAAGGTTTTGAAATGTATAATAATGAAACAAATATAATTCTATGGTCATTTACATTTGAACAATTACAATCAAGTTCTGATAATGGACGAGATAAAATTTATTTTGAATTTAAACGTGATTCAATATCAAATGATAATGAACCAACAATACGTATTGAAGTACAATGTCAACATTTAAAAATATTGATTCATGTGATTAATGCATTTTTAACAATAAAATTAATTGGGAAACGAGATAATACGATTGATTAAGGAAAATATTTCCAGTGATGTTTTGTGTCTTCTTTTTTTTTTCTGTAACAAATAATTTTATTTTTTACAAATAATTATAATGAAAATATATATATATATATACAGTTGTGGTGTTATGGGTTACAAAACGAATGTTTTATTATTCCAGAATTTCAATAAAAAAAAACCGTTTTGATCTTAATATAATATAGTTTTTGATTAATTATAGTTTTATCAGCTTTCAATAGATAGTTTGATGTTGTCCTATTAACTAATAATGTATCAATCAAAATTTACCAATCGTAGTTTTTTGTGAACTTTACACATTAGGAGTTTTCTATATTCTTGCATCTCTATCCTGATATTTTGAGTTAGAAATCAAAACTGCTTCAATATTATACATATATTTACAAAATATGTTTTTTCAACTGTTTCTAATAAGATTTAGATGCATATAAACAACTCCCCTGCCGTCGTATCCGATTCCATCAGACAGCATTTTAATGATAATATTACGAAGGATGTGATTTTTCTACATAAAAACAACAATGACATAACAAGAACAAGAAAAATTAATTTACAAATCAATGGAAAATGTACAAATAAATTAAATCAAGAGTTCCCTTGGAATCAAGGTTTTCTTAGATAAATTTCGTCGACCAAATGAATTACGCAAGCCAACTACAATCTATATAATAAGAAATAAAACTTAAATATCTTATCTAAATAAATAATCCTTACTAAATTAAGTAGAAAGGTAATAATAGCTGCTAATACATAATTTGTAGAAATAAAATCCATGAAGAGAAAAGTAATTATATTCCAAATAAATAAAGAATTTTCTTTACCATAAAATAATACTTTTGTAAAAACTTTTTCATCATCTTAAAGACAAAGAAAAGACAATATTATAATTTAAATTTTATGAATAAAATATATTTACCAATAAATAATATATTATCCATACTTGTTGATAAACCAGAACCTATCCTAGTTTGAAATTCATAATTAAAAATTTTTTCAAGAAGATATCGATTTCGGATAAAGTATTGATATGTTGGTAATGAACGATCAATATATGCACATAAAAATTTATTCAAATTTTGATAAGATTGAAGTAACATATCTGTATAACGTTCCATATCTTTTCGTGTTCGTCGTGGTCCAATATAATCCTGAATACAACAAAACAAAAAATTAAACTCGAGCTCTGATCGAATATTGTTAGTTTTCAAGCTCAATAAGATTAACAGTTACATCAATAAATAATTAACTCTCAAATTCACTGTCTTGTCTTTATAAATCTATAAATCATTCTACAATATATTTCTCATATTGTATAAATCTAGAGTGAATTTTGGAAATGATTTTTTGATTTCTTACATAATATTGTCGAAATAGTAAATCATATTGTGCACGAAATATTCTATTAATTTTCATAATAAATATTTGTTCTGTTGAATTAGCTTGTAAACCTCGTGTACTACTCATTGATTTTGATTCACGTTCTAAATTCATAAGCATATCTCTAATATTAACATCAGCTATACCATGTGGTGAACGACCATGAATATAATATCCATGATAATTTTGATCAAGAATAAAAACACTTATATTCGATACAGAACATAAATCAACAAAATTAAGTATTTTATCTCCGATTAAACGTTGATAGATAATTATATAAACAAAATATTGAATAAAAGCTATTATGAAAATATGAAACATTCAACTGTGATAAGAGTAATACTTAGATACTCTTACCCGTTCCAAGTAATACAAGAAAAGCAGTACCAATACGAAAAACACTATCATATTCCATAGTATAATTAGCTGCAGGTGATGATGGAAAGAGAATAATGTTAGTATCAACTAAAGCTATATTTTCTAGATTGATTACCTATAAGATAAGTTAAATAAGAGAACATTTTAAAAAAATAAATTATCTACTTTGAGCAAGAATAAAGCAAAAAAAAGATGAAATGGTACATGAATACGACGAAATGTTTGAATTTCATTAAATTCATTAGCTACAAAACATGTTCGCCAAGCGGAGACAGTATTCGAATTAACTAAAAATAGATAACGATAAATCAGCTATTCAAGATCAATATGATATTCACGAAAGAAATATCGATATTTTAGCTATCATCGATCGAACTTTTAAAAGACTCGAAGGATATGTAATGTAATTCTAAGGCAAGGTAAGTATTTTCGTGAAAAATTAAGTAACTTAGAATTGCCGGTAAATCATCATGTTTTTTTAAAGAATCCTTTTCTGATTATTAATATTGAAACGTGTTTAAAAATATGTAACTAGACTTTTGGAAGAAATGGAAGAGTCTGAATCATCGGATCGAAAAGTTGTGTGTTGTTGGCTCGAATCATTCATTCAGAAAAGCAAAAACTGATAATTCAATAGCAAAATCAGTTTAAGAAGAAATCGATGACTTTCTCAAGGAATACAATTTAATCAATGATCTTATTTTTCAACAAACAAAATTCATATCGATATTTTAATAATTAAATATATTTCTTTGTCAGTGTGAAATAGGTTCATAATCAGGCTTAAGTTGTAACTTTTACAAAACAATTTCTGAAGATTTATTTTTTCTACTTGATAAAAGTTCTTCACATCTAACACAATATAATCTTTCAACTATATTGATTAACCTGCTTTTGGTCTTTCCCAATCTATAAAGAAAATATCTATTGTTGTTTGTTGTATAATAAGATGAATAATATCGACTGTTTTCAGTATAAATGAAACAATGAATAGAATTTTAAATATATTTTGTTGTGAATTTGTCTTTGATTCAAATGTACTATCAACTTGTGACTATAAAAAAAGACTAGATATATGTATGAATTGAAATGTTATAGAATTGATTATTACTTTAAAAAAAATTAACCACCAAACTGAAACACCAGCCATGACAAGAAAAATAACAGTAGAAAGAATATCAAGAAAATGAAGTAAAAATTTACCAAGTGTCTATGAAAAAAAAACAGGAGTAATTGCTGTATATCAATATAGCAACAACAATAAAAAAAAGACACTGATGCTTACTGGTAAATCGATGACCTCTTTTCCTGATTTTGAAAACCATGCCCATGTTTGTATGACAGCAACAATCATACCTACGCCTGATAAAGTTCCTAGTATAATCCAAACATTACGAGTATGATTTTCTAGATCCATTTGATCGTAAACAAATTATTGATATCTATTTAAATATAAGGAAAAAAGTTCTAAATAATTTATGAATATTGTCGATTTTGATTAGAAATAAAAAGAAAACAGGCTAGTGGAATAAGAAAAAAGGGCTACTTCTTAATTGCGGACAAAATTTCAGCCCTCACCCACACTGTCGGCATGCTAATTGGTTTGATTTTCGTCCGCAATCAAGAAGACACGGAAAAAAGACATTGTATTTATGAGCAAACTTGACAACAGAAATACTAAATACATATCATCGATAAGAACGCTTACCAACTAATATTTTTCTTTTCTCTTCTCTCATCCATTCTTTCTCTCTCTTCGTTCACTTTATTGATAGTAGTGATAGCAACTACAGATTCAATCATATTTAAGAATTGCTATAGACAATTGGAAATGATTAATTTTTTTGTTCTCGAATAATCAACTTCTCGATTTGAATGACTTACATCGCTTAAATACTGTCGGACATTTCTATTGTGATTTATATCGGTGAATTTAGTTCTAATAAAAACTTTCCGACAGAAACATAATCATAGGTAAATGAATGTATATGTTAAAAATGTGACGTATTTGACGTAACTTAATATTTATGAATATGAAGAAATGAACGAGCAGGAAAAAAAAGGCAAACATCACGTCATTCTTCTAATCACGATCGACCAACAACAATTGGTAAATTTTTCATCGTTCAACAATTAACAAGGTATGTTCAGATAGAATCAATAGAGGAAGAAAAGTATTATTAAAATTGAATACAAAAAAAGCCAACGTGTTGATGCTTTAACAATTGGTTATGATTATCTACATATACTATATAATAAACGATACTTTTTTTGAGATATGAAAAAGCAATAATCGATAGAGAATGAATGAAAGTTAATGATTTGCATAGAGGTAAGTGATTTTCTAGAGGATTTTATTTCATCATTTATTAACTTGCATAGTTTATTTATGATAAGCTTTTATTGGAACAATTTTTATCATGTGTAACAAAGTTACTAAAAGGATCAACAGATTTTTTGAGCCCTACTGGAAATCTTATTTCTTTTTTTTTTTGATTTTATATTAATAGTAAAAATGAGTAGATTTTATGTAAACACCTATAATCGAATCTTACACTACATCGACGAATGAATCTATGTAGATAATATGATTTTCATATTTAAATCGAAGAAATAACTTTTCTATAAATGTTCATATGACATTTATTTCCTATGATTAATCATTCTTGGCATAGAAGAATTTACATTGGTGTCTTTAAAATGTCAACATCAATTGAACTTTATAGTATAAGAGCATGATATAATAACAATTAATTGTGACAATGATAAGAGAACGTAAATGGAAAAACCACACCTACTCATTAATCATTAATGTTCATAAATTTACATTTTTTTGAAGCATGACCTAAACGAAGTGTTGACGTATAAAGATAGAGATTTGGAATTTCTCCTCTCCCTTGAGAAGTGACAAGCACGTTAGAAACAGTACCATATATCAATAACATGTCATTCTAGTATATGAACTACTTTCTTATTGCATTTCCTGAGGATTGAGTGAAACGATGGCGAAAAAATGTGTTCCAAAATAGATAGAATAAAGCAATTTCTCTGTAATTGGTAGTAATAGCTATTTTGTGTTTAACATTTTAATCCTACTGAGATTGCACTAACAACTTTTTTTTTTACTATGACCATTTAATATTGAATTTTCATTTATAAAACTCTTATTGATCTTAAAGCCAACTCATATTTTGAAGTAGTAAAACGAAATAATTACTGATTTAACTAATGTCCACTATATTGTCTCCCCAAGTTGGTCTAGGATTAGATACATTCACGTCGTATAACATTTTCAGAATATGTTAGCACTGTAGTGGAAAAACTACGGTTAAATTTTCAACGTTATATTATGATGATTTCGGAATATATTCAACAAAAAAAAAGTGTCAAAAATAGCTCATTTAGTAATTCAATATCGTCTTTGGGCCTTCATACTATATATTTAATTTAGTTTTCTGTGAAAGAACACGTCAAAGTGCAGAGAATGACAAAGCCTGTTTTTTAAAACTTTTACTTTTTAAACATAGAAAAAGAATGAAGTGTGCAATGTTTCAAAAACACAGCTCTCTATTATAAAAGTACACTTGTGTATAATATTAGCAATGTTTATTTCAAAAAAGGGACTCTGTCATGCTCTTTCAAACAAACAAAAACGTCGTTGATTATAATGAAGCTCTTTCAAAAATTCTGAAATATAGGATCAAGAAAGCCTATAAAGAGAAAAACCAAAAGACGTTTTCTGGTTTTCCTGAAAAAAAGGGTATTTTTCAAGCAGAATATGACGGAAGCTTTTGGGTAAAAAAACAAGTTTCAAAATAAAAAAAAATCATGTCATATATGAAAGACCAGACCTCGAACTATCTCTACATAGATTTATCTCACTTTTCATTTTTCTGACTAAAATTGACTTTTCTGAGGGGAACTTGCTTTATTTTTAAAACAGATCTGTCTCTTTTCATTCTTATTGATATTCGAAGCAAATGATCAAGACAAAGTATCGGAATAGAACTTTGTTTAGAATAAAATTCTTTTCAAACTAATGATGATCGTGGTTACAACGTGTGACGAACATAATGAAGTGTTTTGGACAATTTAATTAAAACCTCTAGGGAAATATTATCAAATGTCTAGTTGATAACCAAAATATTATCATATCGAATGTTTTGTTCATTGATAACATGAACAATAACTTATTAAGCCTTCATTTTTATTGAATCAACAAAACAGAGAATTGGTTGTTGAAAAAAATGAACTTTAATGAATACGTGAACTAGACTTTCAAATATCGGAATGACAAATTTTCATGCATCACGAGGCAAAATAGATAAATGATCAAGTACAATAGGATCGTGAACATCGATTCTAGCTTTGGTTGAATTATAAGCATATCTTGCAATAAGCATTCCAGCAGCTTTATCTAAAGCTAATCCTGTAGATTTATCATCTGAACGACAATTTGTATAAGCAGCAGTAATTAGATCTCGACTAGGAGTCATCCAAAAGACAGTATCTTGTCCAAATATGTCTCCACTATGTACTAAAGCTTGGCCAGGTGTTGCCCAAGTACGATTATATGCAGCAACTCCTAGACCATAACCTTCGACACCAATAAATGGACGTTTGAGTTTAGCTGCTGTTTCAGCACTTAAAAATCCAGTACTTTCACCAATAACATGTGCATGTAAGAACTTAGCCCAATCTTGAAGTGTACATGCAACGTAACCAGCAGGACCTGTTGCAGCTTGATCATTATGAAGTAAGGTAGCACCAGGAACTGGGCGTGGGATAGGCACACTATAATTAAGAGGTAAATCATGACCGACTGGTGTCTTAGGAGGGATAGTTTCATCATAGATTAAACCAATCGTAGCACTAGTCATTTCTAAAGGCGTAAAAATATATTCTTGTATTAATGATTCCCAATCTCGACCAATAAGTTGTTCTATCATAGCAGCAGCAACCGCATAACCTTGATTAGCATAAAGAAATTCACCAGGTTGAATTTCTGGTGCATCTTTTAGAACAGTTTCAGTTACCCAATAACGAATTTGGCGAAATGTACCTTTTTGTGCTAATAATTCTCTTAAATGACGATTATAAAAAGTCGTACTTTGTTGAACACCAGAACGATGTGCTAAGAATTGTTCCAAAGTGGCATTTCGAAAAGCAGTATTGAAACTGTCATAATTAGGAAAACATTCATGTACTTGTGTTGTCCATGATAGGAGTTTTCGATCAACTAGACGACCAGCCAGTGTAGCTGTCATCCATTTTGAGCATGAACCAAGATTGATTGGATCAGTAACGAGTAAAGATGTTGGATCACCTTGTCGACGATATCCTGATGCACCTTGTGCGACAATTTCTCCTTTTTTTAAAGCCAAAGCAGATAAACCAGGCATTTTATAATAAACACGAATAAGAGTTAAATCAGCGCTGACATCATCAATACCAGCAACAATGCCATAATTTTTAATTTGTTGAAGAAAAAAAATAAGAATAATAGAGGAAATCATCTAGAAAATAGTTAATATTAAACGATATATCATTTAGGCGTCATAAAAATGAATGAAACACAGTAAACTTGGATTTTTGTATGCAATCAAGTCATATTTTAGCTATAATGCATTAGATGATAATAAAAAAAAAACAACGTTATCACAATGTTATAAAGCCCTTAATCTCTACAGTAAATTGAATGAAACATTAATGCAAAAGGTTCCAATGAAAATCGATACCTCTTGTTTTTGTACAGGTACAATTATAGGCTTCGAGTTGTTTTCTTTATTTTGAAATCAAAATATACCAATTAAATTTTTTTCAATAATGTATTTGATTCCAGAAAACGAAACGATATTATACGAGAATATCATAAAGATTCTTTTTCAAACAATCATTCTTAATTTGTTCTGCTTTATTAAGCCACTCAAATTAATAATCATTATTTTCCATTATTAACAACAATAATAGTACGTAATTGTCGTTTAATATGATCATAATCAGATTGTTCATCAAAAGTTAAGGATTTTACATATAAATTTATAGTAATAATTTGTAACAGCAAATCTGAACATAATTCTTCAATAGATATTGTTTGTTCAAGTTCAACAATTTTCTCATATTTTTGTTGTTTAATTTTCGCTTTTAGACCTTGCCATGGTAAAGAACCTCTTAAGAAATATAACAAAATTATCGATAATTGATTCGAGATCATCTCAACATGCTTGTTCAAAACCCTGATAAGTATGTAATGAAGCATATTGAGCTGTGTCTGTTAAACTTTTTCCGTAAACAAAATTACGATGAACATATATAACGAAATCATGATATTGTTTTGTTAGACTAAAATCAACAAAATATAGAATATGAGAATGATGACCAATATACATGAAAAAATTTAAAGGAAAATAGATCCAAATATTGCTAAGTAGAAGACGTACTTTGAGGTTCGATATCATGATGCAGAAGAGATCGATCGTGCATCTGTTTCGTTCGATTGATAGCTTGATCGATTATCATACAAGTCGTATGTATAGTAAACGAACGATTACAAAAGTTGAAAAGATCTTCAAGTGATGGACCAAGTAAATCCATAATCACTACATTATATCTTTTTTTTGTTCATAATAAATCATTCTGAGAAAACCAATTGAATATTTCACTCGTTCGAAAGTCAATTTTTCAACTAGATTAAATCATCTGTGTCCATATAATCAAAAGAAACAAGTCAACTATTTTGCTCGATTATTTCTTTCTGCTATGAATACTTACATGGAAACATTTGCAACTGTCATCTTCTGAATTCACGGAACTTTTGCCTATAGATACTACTAAGTGTTCCAATAAAACCTTAGTAGGATTTGGTTCCTATTAAGATTTGACAAAGCTATTGAATTTTTAATATGTTCATTTTCTAGAAGTCCTAGGTTTTCGGAGAACTCATATTTTCGAAATTTGATCTCAAATGGTGCTCATATTGAAAATTCAATTGGACTAGGTTTTTAAAAAAATTCAGAAGTTTTGAATAAAATCTCTTTTACATATCAATCTTTCAAAATTACATGTTGTATGAAGAAAGAAAAAGTTGATTCTATTACATTAGAATCGTATCAAATCATTGGAATCAATAGGATCACAGAATCAGTTATTCTCTCCGTGTGTTGGAAACAATATCCATTGGTAAAGAGTTGATATTTTGAAAGTCTCATGTCTCGAAAAGACTTTGTTCAAAAACTCTAAACTTTTTATGAAAGCTAGTCTAGTTGAGCGTCCTGAAAACCTGGAGTCTCCAGAAAACAAATATATTAAAAATTCCATAGCTTAGTCAAATATCAATAGAAACGCAAAATCTTTAATTCAGAAGAAGACGTCTTAGAAGGCTTCATCGTTATTCTTACATTTATACTATAGATCGATTATTTTTTCAACTGAACTTCTTCAAAAAATTTTTAGCTGCATACAAAATTTATTGAAAACACTATAGCTTTATTCTAATGAAGTCAACATCTAACTTCGACGATGAATAGAATTTTGCAGATTTTATTGTTACTTTGACAAATTTTCTTCATAAATCAAAATCATAAAAAAGTTACTAATCATATCATCATCTCCGTTCAAACATTTACAAAAATAGAAGTTCTATTGGTTCATAATGTAAAAACCTACCACTCACTAGGTAATTGTTTCACAACAGCTTCTATGTGTTCAATTTTAACTGCAACCGACATGTTTTTTCTATTGAATCATCAGCAAGAGAAATTTCGCCAAAACTTCCGTTATACTTTTTTTTTTTTACTAAAAAATCTTCCGGCAATAATTTTCATTTCTAATTGTCGACTATCAAATTCTCTATTATCATCATTATCATAATTAACATTTTGCTTTCTCTGAATTTTTCTTATATTCATATTTTTAGATAATATTACATGAATGATTTGTTTTTGTTTTTTTTTTTCTTTTATAAAAATTAATTCAACTAAATTTCTTTTTTGTTCATATTATTATTCATCATTATTTTATAACTGTCTCCTCATTTATATTTATTTCTATTGTTCTTGCTAATCATTTTGTTGGTAATATATTTTGAATATTCATTCAAAAACAAAATTTTCCTCGTTAGAATATGATAAAATAAGACATACAATGAGCAATATATTTATTATTTTAGACATGACGGTAAACATACAAAAAAAAAAGCAGAACACTCAAAAAAAAAAGAATAAAGAACTTGTTAATAAACAGACACATAATTGAATCTAGTATGAAATTCATATTAAAAAGAGGCACAATGTTAAATAAGAAAGTTCTTGGGAATTAATGTTTTTCTTGATAAATTTCTTCGTCCAAATGATAAACGTATTTTAACTGCAATCTAGTAATGAAATAATAAAATCCAACAAATAAAGTTTTATTTCAATCAAAAAAAAAAAAAACAAATATTCTTACCAAATTTAGTAGATATGTAATAATTGCTGCTAATACATAATTAAATGCGAAATAATCAATAAAAAGAAATGTTGCCATATTCCATACAAATAATGAATTTTCATGACCAGTAAACAATGCTGCGGTAAAATTTTTTTCATCATCTTATTAAATAAAATAAAAATTATTTTCAATTTTTTTTGCTTTTTATTTTACTTACCAATAAAAAATCGACTTTCTAGCGCTTCTTCTGCCATTCCAATTAGAGCAGAAGTTTGGAAATCATAATTCAGAAGTTTTCCTAAAAATCGTCGTCTTTGAATAGTATACTGATCATTTGGTAATGAACGAGTAATGAATGCACATAAAAATTCATTTATACTTTGATACGCTCTCATTAAAAGTTCTGCATCTTTTTCATCCGTTCGTTTTTGTACACGTCTACTATTTTGCCTCTAAATAATAATTTTAAAAACAAAAATACACACAGAGAGAAAATAATTTTCTAAACACGATTTTATTTTCTTTCTATCATACTTGATAATTGCCAATTAAAACATTATATTGTGAACGAAAGTGTCCAGTGAATTGAACAATAAATGTTTGTTCGTCAGATTTTGCTTGTAAACCACGTGTACCACTCATTTGATTTGATTCACGTTCTAGATTCATTATCATTTCTTTCATATTAACATCAGTTGTTCCATGTGGGGATAGACCATGAATATAATATCCATATTGATCATCGGTTAATATAAATACACTTATATTTGATACCGAACATAAATCAATAAAATTAAGTATACTATCTTCAATAAAACGTTGATAGAAAATTACATAAACTAAATATTGAACAAGAGCTAAAAATAACAAGAAAAATAACTCGTTTTTTTCTATCGAAAAGACATTAATAAAAAAAACAAAACATTGTTTTTATAAGAAGTATTCGGATATTAACTGACCTACAGCTATGAATAAAAGTAAATGTTCTCCATAAAGCGCTACTATTCTTTACATTATTGAGCTAATATTTTGGATCAGAGGCCGAAATAAGGTGAGATAAATTATCATGATGCATGTTTTCAGTACCATATAATTCAACTAATATCGAAAGAGAGTTTTCGACAGTAGGTCAAGTTGTTAATTAAAGAAGATCTAATTTAGGTTCAACATCTATTAATAATATTTTATTTCTTTGTTCTATAGAAAATAACGAAGTAAAAGATTGATTAATCTCTAACTATGCTATTTTTGTCCTCGTGTATCTATTATTTTTGTGTACTCTTGTGTCTATTTTTTTGCAATATGTAGTCGAATCAATCATATAATCAAAAGACACCAACATAGTATAAAGATAAAGCTAAGCAGTAAAAAAACATAAAAGTTGGGAAGAGGCGGGACACAAAATATTCTACTTCTTTCGCCGTCTTTTTTGGATGCATCTATGCAACCGTAAATTCTGTTATGATCATCTTATCTCAGCCATGTTGGGACAACTATTTTCGTTTAATCTCTCATTCGAAAAAACTACTGCCATAGTAAACTTAGCTTAATAGTACATTCTGACAAAATCTATGGTGAATAACAATTTTTGAAGGTAGATTAAAGACTATTTGACATAAAAATGAGACTATTTTATCTAAATAACTACCAGGGAGAGATGGAACTAATGTGGTTTACAGTTTTTAAAACCAATCGTAGTTTCTGTTCAATTCGGTGTATCATGTAAGCAGGCAATCTGACTTCCTATCCTTTCTTCTTACTCTAACTGATCATGATAACTTGATTTCCAAACAGTTTCATACCTGTTGCCAGCCACATTGAAAAAGCAATACCAACACGAAGAATACCATTATATTCAGGTGTATAATCAGAAGTTGATGGAAAAAGATTTACACCTGGTTCCATAGTAGCTATATTTTCTAAGTTAATAACCTACCAAAAAAAAAAACAATGAACAATAATTTCTTAATTTAAAATTTTTATTACTTTAAGTAAAAATAAAACAAAGAATAATTGAAATGTAACACTAATACGACGAAATGTTTGAATTTCTTGAAATTCATTTGCAACAAAATATGTTCGCCATATAGAAACAGTATTTTTATTTCCTAACATAATTAATTATGAAAAATCAAAAATTAAAATAATCTATTTTCTTTATACCTGGTTTGGGCTTTTCCCAATCAACAAAAAATACATCCGCAGATGCTTGACGACCAATTAAATGAAGAATATCGAATGTCTTAAAAATAAATCCAATAACAATAAGTACTGTAAATGATACTTGTTGTGCACTTGTTGGCATAACAAGAGATATTGAATCTTGTCTCTATTTAATAAAATCAAATGAATTGATTTCTTTTTATTTTTTAATTAAATAAATAAATATTTTACTTTAAAAAAAATTAACCACCATAGTGAAACACCCGCCATAACAATAAAAAAGACTGTTCCAAGAATATTACATAAATAAAGTGCAAATTTACCAATTGTCTTTATAAATAAAAAAATAAAATAAAAATAAAAAAAATCTTATTTAAACAACGGAAATTTTCTCACCATTAAATCAATAGAATTTACTGATCTTCTTGAAAACCAAATCATTGTTCGAAAGAATGCAAGAATAATACCCAAACCAGCCAATACACCAAAAGCAATCCATATATCCATAATATGTTTATTAAGATCCATTCGATAATTAGATTCGAATGTAACCTATTCATACATCAACATATTTATTGATCATAAATTAAGAAATTTTATCTAATCTATTGAGTTGTGCGCGCGCACAATCATTCATCTCATTATAAAAGCATGCAAAGAGCAAATAAGGAAAAAAAAAAGCAAAAACATACAACACATTCTTGATAATGAATACTTTAGTTATTACTAAATACATATATATATATATATTCTTTAACTAACATATAAATGAGTTAGTTTTTTTTTGTTTGTTTCTTTATTTTCATTCTCTCACCTGAACAAAATTTCCTTTGCCTATATCAGTTGAAGTTAATTCATCATATTGAATAATAATAACTGGTGGTTGAATATATGCTTCTCCGCTTGTTAATGTAGTCATAATTTTAATTGATTTAGCATAATGAATACCTCTTAATTCTATAAAAAAAAGTTTATTGATATTGTTAATGCCAATATATATATATATATTTTATGCATACATACCATTATTAATTGTGATACCTGATATACGATCAAGTAGAAAAAAACGACGATGATAAGTCCATAATGATTCATCAGCTAAAAAAAATAAAAATAAAATCATGTATCTTTATGAAATTATCTAGGATTAAAAAGAACTCACAATTTCGATTAGGGAAACTACCAATTATTGATTGATAATTTGTTACAACAACTGGACAAGGTAACATATAATCAGTACCATTTTGAGTGAATACAACATCTAAAATAATATTCATAACATCAAGAAAACAAAAGAGAATTGTATAGAATAATTTACATGGATCAAAGAAAGCCGTTTCATATAATGTCGAATTCCATAATACATCAGCTCGAATAGTACACTAAGAAAAATAAAAAAAGAATTTTTTGATTATGATTGTATTCGAAATATCAATTTTAATAAATGTATTATTAATTAGCTATTATTATATACCATAGATTAGAGTCAGCAGAGTCAAAAACTTTTGGTCTCAAACCCAATATATCAAACTTGTTTCAGATCTGAGTGATCAAATTTTTTTTGACTCCGGCTATAAGCCGTAGTCCTTATTTTAACGAAATTTTTAGTATAACAAGAGAATATCCGTAAGAGTGAGTCGTCACTCAAATTAATATTTTACCTACGAGTAGGTTCTGTTGCGACTAGGTCTCAGTGCCATGCTCTGGCATTACCAAGTTATTACAATTCTACTGAATTTTTTTATCTCTAACAAGACATTTGTAAACAAATCAAATTATGAAATTTCAATCTGTAATTCTGCCTATACGTAGGTTTTGTAGACTTTAGAATACATCAAAACGATCATGTCTCACACGAAAAGATATGAAAGTGAAGTATTTCTAACAGTTGATATTAAAGTCGTTTCAAAATTGTGAGATATTTTTTATCGATTATTTCTATTTGGCTACTAACACATCTTACACATTTCTCAGACAATCTTGACAAAGATTTTGTAATAATGAATTCATAATTAGTAGAATATGACTCGTGCGTTGTCGGTCTTACAATCAACTTGACAGGTTCTATCATCAATAATCGATATTGACTTTCAGATATTTATTATCATGTATAAACTGGACTGTTTTTTTTTTTGAAATTGATAAAAGACGAGTAGACTTTCCTTATAAAATATAAAATGTGACAACGATTTTCATACTTTACGTCTATATTCTTATTAAAATATAATCGGAAAATAAAAATTTATTCATATAATTCTAATACTATTTAACTAATCAAAATTCTTAGAAAATATTTTTAACTTACTGATTTTTTATATGCTGTTCCAAATGTAAAAGCAGCTCGACCATCAGTATAACCACCTCCACAAAATTGCATATGAGTATCAAAAGCATCAACAAGACCTAAAAATTGTCCAGTTGTAGAATATTTAGCTAGTTTAAGTCTCATTAAATCGTTTTGAGTAAATTTTGCTGGTATCCAATCGTATGTTGCAATATTGATTTCATCATAATATGTTGATGGATAAGTAAGAAATGGTATAGATATTCTAAACAGACACATAAATAAATAATGAAATATATCTTTATTTTTTCTCTTTTTTTCTTTTTGCCATTTACCGAATACTTAAAACTGTCCATGTAAATGATGTTCCTTGTGGATTCCATATATAAGTATCATAATAATAGTATGCGTAACCATTGCTACCATAAAAAAATTGCATTGTAGCGATATTTGCTAAAAGTTGACAGGCTGTTGCATTTGATAAAAGACGACGTGTATTTGATAGTATAATCGAGGGACTTAAATTCATCTAGAAAATAACAATAAAAAAAAAAAATTTCATTGTAAAAGTGAACTATCTGAACTTACTCGACAAAGAAAAAAGGATGCTGTCAAATGTTCTCGAATAAATAATGATGACGTAGGATTCTAAATTTTTAAAAAATATTTTTTTTTTTTTTACTTTTGAATGATATTAAAAACAACATACGGTGAATCTATTTAGATCGAGGAAACCACTGATTGTAGTATCTTTAACATAAGATAAACAGATACCATCCTCAATAGGACAAAAGAAAAGAGAAATAAGTTTTTTTTTCTTGAATAATATTAAATGAAAAGCTTACTTGAGTTTCACTAATATTGCAACATGTGATACTACTTCCCGATGCTGTTGTAAGTCGAGGAGTAATACTAGCACATGGAGTACATCTAATAAGAAAACAAAATTAAAAATTGAATATTTTTCGATAAGAATTATTATCAACCGTTGACTAGATGAATCAGGCCATGTACCGCTTTGACATGGAACACAAGATGCATTTCCAATTCTTGGCTGACTTGAAGAATTTGTAATTGGTACCCATAGACTACCATCAAGGTCTGATTCCGCTAGAATAATGAAATATAGATGTATTGTTTTTTTGTTGCGTATATATGCGACAGAGAAAAAAAAAGAAAAATTGTCAGTTACTTTTAACCATCTCTGGCCATGTTAAGCCGCATGAAATATTTCTAGTAACACATCCAAATCCATCACTTGATCGTAACTTAATTAGGGGAAAAAAATTCATTTATCAAAAAATTTAAATTCTATACACATACATAAGTTGAATTGCATGGTAAACAAAGCAATGAACCACCACCTTGATTTACACCATAATAAAATGTGTTATCGATACAATCACATTGTGTTGGATCTAAATAAGAATGATAACTATAAAATGAAATTTGACTTAAATATGTACGAAATAAAGTTATCCAAAACAAAAACAAAAAATTGTAGATTTTTAAAAGTATACATGGCTTTATAATATTCACAATTTTTATTGACATATAAAAATATTTATATATTAGTGTTTCATATAACAGTCTGCTAAATCTTGAATCATCCGAAGCATACTTCGGATATACTAGATCAAGAAAAACATTTAATTTTGAGTTCGACATTAATGTTGAATTTAAACTTCTTTTATTGAGAAAGTTTAAACCATCTAAAAAATAAGAAATTTGCCGTACTCTCTTTCGATAGCATATGTTCACTTTAAACACAGTTCATATACTGATTAGTATGATTAACATGCTCACACAGTATGAGTTGAAGATGAGGGCTATACCTAAAGTGAATAAATACGTTTCCAGCAGTTGCTGAAAGTTAGTATGGCGAAACTCATGTTATCCCAGTTTTGTTAACTCTTTGTAAAAAAAAAACTATCATCAATCATAGGTAACTCATTAACTAAAGATTATGATTCAATATTGACTTTTAATTTGAATGATTCAATTGATCCTAATTTGTTTGATATTTAAAGATGAACAATAACAATTCTGTAAGTAAATAAAATCTTAATGATTAATGCATATTATGTTTAAGGAAAGAATTTTGAGTTTATAAAGCAATTTAGAATTTGCTGAAATTCTTTTCATACTATATTTTCATGATGTACAATGGGCCTGTTTATTCACGAAAAAAAAAAAATTTCTATTCGTATAACCAGATAATCTGATTAGTTCAAATCATCCGATTAATTATATTACTATTAATAAACATGTCAACAAGTCTCATGTAAATATTAATGGATTATTAATAGAATTATCAAAGAAAAATTACCATTTTGTTTTTGTATCGCATTAGGTGGACAAGGTGAACATTGTAATAGAGCCGTATCATAATATTGATTATTTGGGCATGACGTAACATATGAAAATCTTGTTTGATAAGCTGTATAAGATGATGTTGTTTGAGCAAAAACAATTGATGATGGAATTAATAGAAGAAAGAGAAATAGAAATAGTTTGAATAAAATCATTATCTTTACTATCATATGTATGAGTAAAAATCACAGCATGAAAAAAAAAATTGTCACCTATCATTCATAAGAAATAACTAATTTACAATTGTTACTTAGGAATAACCTTTATGATCCGATCTGAAATGCATTTCTACGAAGAACTGTTATGGAGGTCAAAGAAACATATTTGATTGGTTCATCATTTATTCCAATTATTGAAAAGTCAAAGCCAAAATGTCTCTTTTGTGTATATACTTAGTCATATTCATTCGGAAAAAAACACAAAGATTTGACTTAAAGGTTATATACATTTTAGATTAATGGAGGCCTTAATTCCTATTCTCAATAAACTTCAAGATGTATTCAATACAGTTGGTTCTGAAAGTATTCAATTACCACAAATAGTTGTTGTCGGCTCACAAGTTTGTTTTGAACTTTATAATAGAAAATTTTTATTGTTTAAATATCTATTATTTTAGAGTGCTGGTAAAAGTTCTGTATTAGAAAATCTTGTTGGACGAGATTTTCTTCCGCGTGGTGCCGGCATTGTAACAAGACGTCCATTAACTCTTCAACTTGTTTATACACCACCAGAAGATAAAGTAGTACAATGTCAAAGTTTAGGAGGTAATTTTTAATTTTTATTTTAAGAAGATAATAAAATCCTATTAGTACTTTATTAGTATCGGTACCTGATGAAAATGAATTTGCTCTATTTACACATGTTAAAGGTAAAGTTTATACAGATTTTAATGAAGTTCGTCAAGAAATTGAAGCAGAAACAGATCGACTTGGTGGAAAAAAGGTTTTGTTTTTCTATTCATAAAATATTTTTATATAAATGATCGGTTTTTATATAGAATATATCTCATGAACCAATCACATTAAAAATTTATTCACCAAAAGTTGTTACACTTACATTAATTGATTTACCTGGTTTAACAAAAGTAAAATTAAAATGATTTCTTTTTTTACAAAAATAAGAATTTTATTTAAAAATAAACAAAAAATACTTTAGATACCTGTAGAAGATCAACCAGCTGATATTGAAGCTCAAGTACGAAATTTAATAATGTATTATATATCAAATCCAAATGCTATTATTCTTGCTATAACACCAGCAAATGTAGATTTTTCAACATCAGAAGCTGTTAAATTTGCTAAAGAAGTTGATCCTGAAGGTTTGTTTTTATATTTATGAAAAAAAACAAATTTTTCTTGTTTTAGAAAATAAAATTTTATTTTATTAATAGGAAGACGAACTTTAGCTGTTTTAACAAAACTTGATTTAATGGATCGTGGAACAGATGCATATGATGTACTTTGTGGAAGAGTTATTCCTGTTAAATTAGGTATTATTGGTGTTGTTAATCGAAGTCAAGAAGATATTCATAAGAAAAAAGTTTGTTAGAAAAATATTAAATAATCTATTTTTTGTATATTTATTTTATAGCAAATTGAAGAAGCACTTCGTTATGAATCAGCTTTTCTTCAAAAAAATTATCCATCCATTGCTAGTCGAAATGGTACACCATTTCTTGCCAAAACATTAAATAGAGTATGTTTTGAACAAAAAAAACTTTATTATATATAAATAACTCTTAGCAAAAAATGTCAAACTCTGTTAGATCATGTGTTAAATTTCGAAACTAATGAAAACTAGATGGAGTCAAAGTCTATCGTTATTCGCTTCAGAAAAATCTTTTGTAAAGTAGAGTTCTTTTTTTTTTTTTTTACAGAAAACGATCAATATGAAAAGACAGCAACTACAAGTAGCAACGTCTAAATTATATTGTTACTTTCAGCAAAACCTCAAGAACTGTATTTTTAAGCATTTTTCTTGATGTTGATAGCCTGAGAAAAAAATATTTGTATAGCTATAAAGATTTTCTATAAGGATTGATAGAACTGAAGGCTTCAACAACACTACTGGGATGGAGGTCTATAGAAAATTAAGACTCCTAAAATCATGTTTTTGATTTTCATTTAAAGCTTTTTGGAAAGGGCTTTATATGATAGAACGAGATGAGCTATCTCCGATCTCTTCATGACCTTTCTTCATTGAACTGCATTTCAATTTATCGAGGACATAAGAAGCATTTGTCTCTTCTTGTTATTGAAAATTTCGATGTTTTACCATATTTGACACTTTGAGATCTTCTGTAAATTTAATTTTGTTCGATAAAGAAAGATCATAGAGAGATCGAAGACATCATTTTGCTTTATCAAATAAAATATTTTTCCAAAAATTTCGAATGGAAGTCAGAAATTCGTTTGTAAGCATGTTGAATTCTGACAGCTACTATCTATTTTGACACAAAGATCAAGAGTACATTTAACTACGAATAGATTGTTGAAAACAATATTCTTTATGCTACAAAAATTAAAATTAAGCGTATTTTTTTCATTTCGTATCTAATATAAAAACTTAACAAAACATAGAAAATGATATTGCATAATAGTGAAATTGCAAGAACTTTTTAAGAGCTGATTAGGTTTTTAGCTTTTCTTCCTTCTTATATTTGTCATGCAAAATATTTCTGGTACATGACTTGTAGTTCAGGTATTACTCTTCCTAAGAAAAATAGATTTCATTGGTTTAGAAGTTGACATTATCGTCTAACAGAGTTTTTAACATTTCATCAGAACTTTTACATTATATACTATATCATTTTTTTTCTTTGATAGTTACTAATGCATCATATTCGAGACTGTCTACCAGCATTAAAAACACGTATTAATCAAATGGTATCTCATTTTCAAACACTTGTTAATTCATTTGGTGAACCAATTGAAGATAAAGTTGTATATTGATAGTATAAACGATAAAAAACTATTTTATTTACTATATAGGGTCGATTATTACTTCAAATAATAACAAAATTTGCATCAAGTTATTGTGCTACGATTGAAGGCACAGCAAAAAATATTGAAGTTTCAGAATTGTTCGTTTTAAAAACAAATCAACAAATGAATAAACTAATTTTTTTATTTAGATGTGGTGGTGCACGAATTTGTTATATATTTCATGAAACATTTGCACGTGCTCTTGAATCAATTAATCCATTAGATACTTTAACAACATTTGACATACTTACAGCAATACGAAACGCGACTGTATATTTTTTTGCTTTTGTTTTTTTGAAATTTCTAATAATAATAATTATTTTCTTCTTTTAGGGTCCAAGACCTGCTTTATTTGTACCGGAAGTTTCATTTGAATTGCTTGTTAAACGACAAATCAAACGCTTAGAAGATCCAGGTTTACGATGTGTTGAACTCGTACATGAAGAATTACAACGAATCATACAACACTGTGGTGCTCAGGTAATTTCATTTTTTTTTGTCTTGTGAAACTCGTATATCGTTTTGAAAAAACATAGTGAGTTTTAGTTAAGAGCAAACAAAGAAAATAGTGCAGAATTGAGGTACTAATATATGCATTAGTAGTAATGAGGAAGTGTTTAATCTACGAAAATCGATTTAATAACAAATAGTTTTAAGAATGGTTGTTTTGTAACTTTTCTACAAATTCATTCTTGTCACAAGAGAGTTTAATAAGAAGATTGTAAGTTACTTCTTGTTATTTAAATTAATGAAGATGGTCAGGTATATTTATGGTTTCATTTGATAAAGAAGATTATATTATAATTTGTATAAGTATTATTTTGAATAATCAATTAATATCTTTTCGACTTGAGAAAGAGAAAATAATCAATGTTGTTATTCAAATTTCATTTATAGATAAACTGAAAATAGTAAAATTTTCTATAGTAAACATCATTATATAATTCTATGGTGAATACTTCGGAAAAATCCCTACTGTGCATGACAGCGTTTGCAGAAAAAAACAACATGTTAATAAGTGCGTATGTCTCTGTACATATAAGACTAAGTAATGCAGCTGTATGAGTAATAGCATACGCCAACAGTACGACATCTCTACGGTACAAAAACGGTCGTTTGTGGTGATCCGACTGATTGACCTATATGATACTTGACCTTTCTATTACTTATTAGATGGCTTATGATGAAAAAGACAATTTGACTATTGAAGATGTATTTGACAATAAAAACTAACATATTTTCAAAATTGACAAAATATTAGATATAGTAGATAAGTTTCTGCTAGATTGTCATTTCTATGTTTGAAATAGTTAAATTGTATAATATGTATATGTGATATATCAAAATGAATGACATTTTATTATATAAATTTATTTGAATGGTTGTTTAAATAACCTATTTATTATTATTAAGAAACGATCATTTAACATAGATAAACAAGAGAATTTAATTCTTTTTGTTTTTCTTATCATATTTTAACTGTTGTTGTATATTTTTCTTTTTTGTTACGTCGGAAAGTTTCTTAACAAAATGTTTGTTCACATCTGACTCACTAGAAAGTATCCAAAGCTATGAATTACGATCAAAATTTTGTGCTCTTATCGAATATGGACTTAGATACCTTGTCTTAGTTTTGTTCAAAAGTAGTAAAATAATGTTTGACAAACCGAAAAAATTCCTTTGGACAGAAAATTCATGTACTTTTTTCACTCTTGCAATTCAAAATTAAAAGTTGAGAGATCTTTATTTAATATCAGCTTCTAAATGAGAAACAATCCTACATAATGCACTTGATCTTTCGACAAACTACCTCAATTTTTGTTTTTTTTTTCTAAATACTCATTTTTCAAAAAAAAAACTCGACAATCATTTTACATTGAAAGGAGCTTTTGAACAAATACTAGGGTAAAAACTACAGGTTACTTCAATATCACATTTTCTAAAGAAGCATCTGTCATACAAAACGATCGAATCCGACAATATATTTTTGCATGTTCGAAAAGGGTCTTATCGGATAAACAAAAAACTTGTTAGCACAATATTAAAAATAATTTTTTAGGTTTTTCAAAAAGTTCCTCATGCCTCTTGAACGTAAATAAATACAATATTTTAAAGTTCATATTTAAATTCTGGTCACGACCTATAGGGTTTGGTTTGCTTGAAATGCTTTC